TGTGTGTGTGTGTGTGTGTGTGTGTGTGTGTGTAAGGGGGGGCTTGTATCTGGAAATCAACCCAGGTATTGTCTCTCAGGAGACATCCACCGTGAGTTCTGGCCATCCCCCTAGTGCTGGAGATTTAACTTAGAACCTCCTGGATGCTAGTCAGGTGTTCCACCACTGAGCTACTCCCAGAAGTCTACCTTTTTATTTATTTATTTTTCTAAAGATTTATTTATTTATTATGTATACAGTGTTCTGCCGGCATGCATGCCTACAGGCCAGAAGAGGGCACCAGATCTCATTATAGATGGTTTTGAACCACCACATGGTTGCTGGGAATTGAACTCAGGACCTACAGAAGAGCAGCCAGTGCTCTTAACCTCTGAGCCATCTCTCCAGCCCAAAGTCTACCTTTTTAAAGACAAGGTCTCTCTCATCCTTGAATTCACTGATTAGGTTAGGCTGGCTGGCCAGTGAGCCCCAAAAGTCCCCCTAACCTCATTTCTCCAGAGCTAGAATTACAAGTGGGCCTCACCAGGCCTGGCTTTTTTTTTTTTTTTTTTTTAACAAGTGGGCTCCACCAGGCCTGGCTTTTTTATGTGGGTATTCAGGGTTGAACTCAGGTCCTCAGGCTTCCCCAGCAAGTACTTTAGTGACTGAGCCGTCTCCCCAACCCATAATTTCTGTTTTTCAAAACATAAATAAATATGTTCGCTTAGAGTTTCCCAACACCCTTTCTCTTTCGTTGGGACTTTACAAAGATTCTTGACAGCATGTTAGGGCCTGTGACAAAGCTCTCCTAAGAGGCGTACCACAGCTATCCACCGATCTGTTTCTTCTTGGGCTCAGAATTTTGTCTAGAGTAGGAGCTCATATTACCATAGCCTCTGTGCCCTGGGCCTTGTATTGTTGGGGGCCAGACGGGACTTAGCACACACATGAAGAGTTGAGAGTCACCGTCAGCATGGACACGGAGCACAGGTGATCATCAGCTGAGAACAACTTACGCATTTCTCAGGATAATCTTGGGGATCCCCGCCCCCCCCCCCCCCCCCCCCCCCCCGCCGCCCAACTGCAGTTTCCTCGTTTTTCATACTCCCGAGTCATTGCTGTGCCTAGAAACCCTGGTACAACTGAAACTAGTTGGTGCCAGCTCTGAAAGGTGCTTTGTGGACCACCTCCCTGAACATCTCCAGTCATTTGGCTTAAATTAACTGAGAACCACAGGCTGACATCTAGAAATAGCCACAGAGCAACCTGCCCCAGATGGAAGCCAATGTCTCAGTTTTCCTGCTCTTCAGGTCTGGTCACAAAAATATATTCTCTTCTGGACCTTCTTTTTCTCTAGATTTTGGATTGGAGGTTATACTGGCTAATTTTATGTCAATCTGACACAAGCTAGAGTCATCTGAGAGGTGGGAACCTCAGCTGAGAAAGTGTGTCCATTAGATTGGACTGTAGGCAGCCTGTAGGGCGTTTTCTTAATCAGTGATTGATGGGGGATGGCCCAGTCCGTTGTGGATGATGCCACCCCTGGGCTGGTGGTCCCGGGTTCTATAAGAAGGCAGGCTGAGCAAGCCACGATGAGCAAGCCAGTAAGCAGCACCCCTCCATGGCTTCTGCATCAGCTCCTGCCTCCAGGTTCCTGCCCTGCTTGAGTTCCTGTCCTGACTTCCTTTGATGATAAACTGAGGTGGAAGCGTAAGCAGAATAATCCCTTTCCTCCCATCTTGCTCTTTGGTCACTGTGTTTCATCACAGCAATGGTAACCCTAACTAGGACAGAGGTCTTTTCAAGCTACAGGGGTTAGTTACAGCTCAGACTCTTCCTTAGAGGAACAACACTACTTCTCTAGCTCCTTTATCTCCTGCTCCCTCCACTCTCAGACCCATCTTCTCTCCCTAGCACTTACCATCCACAGTTAGACGAGCATTTTTGGCTGTTCTCTCAAGGCATACTCCTGCTGAGAGTCTTCCAGAGCTTTCTGGCTTAGGGAATAAGTCAGGGGCTGGAGAGATGGGCAGTGGTCAGTAACACTTGCTGTTCAGTCGTGAAAACTGAACTGGAGCTTGTATCCCAGCAACCTTGTCAGGGGCCTAACAAATGCCTTTAACTCCAGCTCCAGAGAATCTGACAGCCTCGTCTGGCCTCGGTGGGAACCTGCACACATGGCGTGACTCACACTACACACACACACACACACACACACACACACACACACACACACTTAAAAAATTTTAAACTTAGTGTCAAAAGCTGGGTTTAGTGGCACAAGCCTTTAATCCTAACACTTGAGAGGCAGAGGCAGGCAGATCTCCAAGTTCAAGGCCAGCTTGGTCCATAGATTAAGTTCCAGGACAGCCAGAGCTACACTGAGAAACCCTATCAAACAAACAAACAAACAAACAAAAACCTAAACAACGACAACATAAAAAAAAAAACCCAAAACCTTAATGTCCTTAGCCTAACATTTAAATGTCACTGTATCTACAGATGAACAAAAGAATGAAGGCTTATCGAGGCTCCTGGTGTGGGCACTGTCAATCACTCAATCACGTGAACAAGGATTATTAGCACCGTTTCATAGGTGGAGGAATGTTGGACCCATCAAAAATCAAACGATACCGAATAGAGAGTAGAACGAGGGGGGGGGACGCTTTCATGAATTATGCGGGCTTGCTCAATGTGTGCTTCACTTATTCATGCCCCTCACAGGACAAGATCTGTGTGACTATTACGGCTGTGAAAAGGACCAGAACAACTGCCAGAAGGTTTTTCAATGCAAATGCAAACCTGGGCTGGCAAGGCCAAACCCACTGGTTCCCTTTTGTTTTCGTAAGTGTCCTGCCTGCTCCCAAACGTCCCTCACAATTCTCACTTTCCCTCCTCTAGTATTTTTTCTTTCTTTCTCTCTTTCTCTCTCTCTCTCTCTTTCTTTCTTTCTTTCTTTCTTTCTTTCTTTCTTTCTTTC